TTCCAACTCTTGGTCTCCTTCCCATTTGCAGAAGCCTAATTTTCATCATTTTTTTCCATACTACTCTGTCATAAAGATAAATTTGAGGCATTTATAGGTAAATGGATGCAACTTGAGACCATAATGTTAAGTGAAATAGGTCAGACACACAAGCTTAAATATCACATGGCTTGCTTATATGAGAAATTTAAAATGTCTGTCTAATGCCTGTCTTTCTCTATATCTCTCTATATCTATCAGAGAGAGAGAGAGCACAAAATAGAAGATGGATAAATAGGGATTAGGGAGATCTTTTTCAAATGGATGGGGGAACAAGAGATGAGAAGAGGTTGGGGGAGAGAAAGGAGATGAAAAAAAAGAATTGAGGGGAACGAATTCAGATTTCTAATCAGCTGACCTACCAATGAACAATGGCCAGTTTCAATTGCTCCCAGTACTGCTGTTTTATAAACAGCACCATGGCCATTGATGTTTTGCAGGGCTGGTTTATATTCACTGCTGCTCTACAGTATCGGTATATCATTATTGAAATGTTGTAAACTAATACGGAGTAATAAATCTCTAAGGATTCTTAACACTTTATCTGACTAAATAATGTAAGGACTTGATTGGAGAACTAATATTGATATAGAAATTAACAGATTATGAGAATTTTAAAATACATGACTTTTGAAGAAATGAGGCTGAAAACAGAATTTTTATGACATTTTAATTTGAAAGCACTGAATATGGATAGCAAGTATTTGTGGCATGCTAACCTTAAAGGAAAAACCATTAGGGTAGAGATATGTTTTCTGGCCATTTATTATAATAGTACTGTAAAATTGCCCAAGTTCTATAGAATATAATAAAATATTTTATATGTGTACATTGTTACAAAACCTAGTTTGGACTTCAGTCGAGAAGCACATGTTTGTCTATCTGTATAGATGTAAAGCTCAGCCTACTATCTTAATGGTCATTCTTGGATATCTACAAAATGTTTTCACTTTTTAAATTCCTTATATCCTAGTCTCTTTCAGTCTACACAGTCCCTGACTAGAGATCCCCCCCTCAGCTAGCTCTAATGTTTGAACAATGGATTCTGGTTGTTTAGTGTTACAGACAGGATGCCACAAGCCCTGTTCTCAGCTTCAAATGCCCAGGCTAAACCTTGAAAAACTACTGTGGACCTCATTGCTTATGGTAGCCATATCTAATCACATTTTTTTGCTTCCTATTTGAGGCTCAACTGGTCAGTTATATCAAGTGTTGGTTCCAGGCCAGTGGCCTGAGTGAATCCTTCCCAAGTGAGTATGACGACAATAATTCAAAACCTTGGCATTCCTCACTAGGGATATGGTCTCAGTATTCCAGTCTAAGCCCCGGCTTCCAGCCAGGAAACTGGCATTCATGGCCCATTTCTGGTCTCTCTTGAAAAATAAAACAGCTTTTCTGTTTGAGTAGCTCTAGCTCTGGTTGTGGACCAAAGGGAAGGGTAGCAGGATCACAGCAGTGATGAACCTGATGGATCTCTTTCTTTGTTGACTTTTCATCTAGATTGATTTTCTTATTGGCCACATTGTCGACACTAAAAATAAATACTGAGCATTTAATAGAAACCCCAAAACTGCTTGTGTACATCTGCTTTTTAGAAGTATTTCCTGTGGTGCAAGAAGTTTCTTTTCCTAATTAGACGCTAGTCCCTTTTAGTAAAATTTATTCTTATGCATTCTGTTATTTCATTTTATTGATTTTTCTCCATGAAGTCAAGTATAACTGTTTGGAAGAAATTCTAACATTAAGTGACATTAGGATTTTTTTTTTTTTTGCTATTTTTATTGCTATTTCATAGAAGTATCACTTTGTACTCTATATTACTCATTTATCAAACTGGCTTTATTATAAGAGGCCTTTACCTAGGGAAGAGGTTGATCCTTAAAAATTAGATATAAAAGGGCCAGGGATTTAGCTCAATGGTTTTGCAGCCTGCTGTGAAAGCGCAAGGACTGGAGTTCGATCCCCGGTACCAAAAAAAAAAAATTAGATTATAAAATGTAGATCAGAGATCACCAACAAACAAACTAGCCACAAGGTCAAAACCAGCCTACCACTTGCTTTTGTAGATAAATATTTATTGGAACATAACCATGCTCATTCATTTACGTATTGCCTGTAGCTATTTTCATACTACATGGCAGAATTTAGTAGGTACAACACATTATATAGTGACCTAGAAAATGGAAAATATTTACTGTTAGGGTCTCTGTAGAGAAAGTTTGCATATTTTTTCTATCTTTCAAAAATGCAAGCAATTGTGTATTTTATCTGTTCTTTAAGGATATTTCAGACAAAGACAAGTTATTAAAATTAATTCCTGTTTGATTTGTGTTTGCAAGTGAAAATAGACATTTGTGTGGCATTTTATGCATATTGAGTTATGTGAAAGAGCTTAGGAAAAAAATCAATTGCAGATTTATTTTAAGATCTTTTTATATGAGTGACACAATGTCATAAGCCTTGTTATATTTAGTTGTATCTTGATTTAAACAAAGCCAATACTAAAAAGTTCTTATTTACAGAAAATAATTTGGGAAAGTTGTTAAAAAGTAATAATCATTTCATAAAAGTATTAGTTCAACAAGAAAGTATCCAGCATAGGATCTCTTAACCAAATCCTCCAAGATTTTCATTGATGGATGGATTTTATTCTTTCCTTTGAACCTTATATGCTTTGATATAATTAAACTTTGATATATTTTTATTCAGAAATTTCAACTTACATACAAGTTTCCAGAAGGATTTCCATTGTGTTAAATAATGTGCTACGGATAAACTTTTCCAAAGAAATTTAGAGACTTCCAAGTGTAAGAATTATTCTATTGGCTTTTTAATTCAAAGCTACATGCTGGTAGGGAATAAAAAGCCATAGTATGGCTGTACTTTTAACTTCTACTTGAAAGCCAGATATATTTTGTTTGAAGTTACATGGCTTTGATACAAATAGATGGCATAAAAATGCTCTCTACTTTCTTGTGATTCATCTTTATATTTTAAGAAGTGCAGATTTGTTCTATTTTCCCCTTATTTATTTGTTTCCTGATTGCTGTGCAATTTCTTGTTGAGTGCCCATGAAATAAGCAGAATTTCTTAGGAGGAGAAGATGTGGGAAATGATGCTGGAGGCAGCAATATACAAGTATAAAGAAATGGAAAAAAAAAAACTTGGAGGTTCCTCTGCTCATCCTTTATCCTACTGCAGCAAAAAATGCAGTTTGGAAGCTATCTAGAGGGATTATTTTTGATGGAAGCATCATCATGAGTTCTGGACTTTGAACAATGTATTGCAATTTAACAATAGTGATGATGTGAGAAAGAATTGGAACTCTTCTATATTGCTGGTGGGAATGTAATCTACTACTACCACTATGGAAATCAGTAAGGAAGATTCCTCAAAAAACTCTGGCCAGAAACTCCAGTTTAACCCAGCTGTACATCTCTGCCTGGCTCTCTTCCCAAAAGAGTTAAAGTCCTCATATTACAGTGATGCATGCATACCCATGTTTATAGCATCACAATTCACAATAGCTAAATTATGGAAACAGCCTAGATGCCCATCAACAGATGAGCGGATAAGAAAATATGATATATATTAGAGTATTACTCAGCCATAAAAGAGGATAAATTTGAGTCATTGGTAGGAAAATGTATGGATTTTGAGACTATAATATTAATTGAAATACATCAGGCACAAAAGGTCAAATATTGTGTGGTTTCTCTTATATGAGGAATGCAAAATATATTTAAAAAGCAAAATAAAGGAGAGATGAGAGGAAGCAGATGGGGAAGGGGACCTAAGGAGAGGGGAGGGGAGACGGGGAGGGCAGAGAGGGAAAAGGAATAAAAAATGATCGATCAAGATTAGGCTAGTTTTCTGTCATATCATGACCACAACTTTATTGTATAAAAAATATCAACTGCATTCATTGAGGTTTACTTTTTCCTATGTGTGATGTGCTTTTGACATATCCCATGTACAGAGGCTTGCACAACACAAGTGGTCAATATAGGCTTGCTGTTTTTTTGTATAAATGCAGAGGATGAACAACCATTTAGAATCCATCCTGACTCTCTGGGAATATTTAATTTCAGAAACCATTCCTGTAGTGGCAAATACAGCAGTGAGATAAGAGCAAAATGAAAGCAAGGAGGAAAAAACAAACTGCAACAAATCCTTCTGAAGCTAATTGGCTAGGGGATTGTTTTAGTGGTGGAGGGAAGGAATATAAAAACTTGGGGAATTTTTATGAGGTAAACAAAGGCTTTGCAAGAAGGGACAGCAATAAAAAGAATGTACTACATACTACCACACACAGCAACATGGATGGATTTCAGAGACTTAAAAGCCAGACACAAAGAGTTCATATTGTTTTTGAACAGGCAAAACTAAACTAATCCATAGTAGTGATATATGTTGTCAGTAGAAGTGAGAGGGTAGTTATTCAGTGAGAGAGGCACAAAGGAACTTTCTGGTGATGAAACTGTGTATGAGATTTTAATCCAAATAGTTCTTATATTGATTTACATATTCATAATATATATAACTTACATGCTAAATTAATATATTATCTATGCAATATATATATAAATTCATACTCATTTTTTTCTGTATTTAAGATTTGCGAACTTTATAATTCCATAAAAAATTAATTCATAATAATATTGAAAATAGGTCACAGAGGGGACACTTGATTCAACATGAATGCTTAATAGAGTACTTGGAAGAAAAGAGTGGCAAACCCCTCATCTAAAAACTCTGCTGAGCTTAGCGTAGGAGCCGTTTCTGAATAAGAACATTAATATTAATTTTTGTTGCAAAACATTTCAAACCCCAAAGGATGCTTAGCATGCATTAAAATCACATCTATTGAGCTGCAGCAAGGTGAAGGATGCTGAGCACAGTTCTGTTGATTCTTTGAGGACTTACTGCTTAAAAGCAATGCCTTTGTTTTTTCTTTCCAGATTGGCAGATTGCTACTCTAGCCTTACTCTTGGGTGGTGCAGCCATCATTCTCATTGCATTCCTGGTGGGTTTGATTTCTATCTGCGTGGGATCTCGAAGGCGCTTCTACAGACCTGTTGCTGTTATGCTTTTTGCAGCAGGTAAATACTTTCATTACTTTCGAACCATTATTAAAGTTTCATGATGCCTTGTACCATCCTCCCTTCTCATGCAGAAGCAGTGTGTGTTTGGAACCTTACATAAAAACTGAGAGCCGTTTCTTATATTTTAAGATAAGTTGGCTTAAATTGTAACATAATATCAGTTTTCAACATGTTAAGCATTTCACAGAACACAGTGGTATCTTCCAAAATTCTAACTAAAACGTGAATAACTAATACTTCGTGAGAGGACTATCACTTTCGGAATTGCAGCAGATGTATTTACCAACAATCTTTTTATGCAGTCAGTTTTTTCCCCTTTCTACTGCCCTCTTGGTGATCTTAAAGCAGCATCATTTTTTCTGACATGAAACTGGAAAAAAACATTTCCAAACTGTTTATCCTTAAGGGCATACATCTCTTTTTAAATAAACATTATGCTGGGAAATCATGACATGTAAATTGAACAATCAGACAAGTTAATTGTATGAGGTCAATTGTACATTTGTTAATTTAACAACCATCATTCTGTGAAGCATAGCTTAAATTGAAATATCTACCAAGGTAAATTAAAAGAGTTATGTATAAAAGAAGCTGGTGGACTAAAAGCACAGTACATTATTTGATATGAGTTTTAATTTTAATTTGTAAAGGTATCCTTGAATATATTACCCTTTTTGACTTAAGTTGAAATATTCTTGTGTCGCCTTCAATTTACCCTGTCAGTCCTATCTGATTTGAAGACTGCAAAATAAGCCCCTGTGACTGTCAATAATGAAGATACTGACAGAACCATCTACGATGTTAGATGGATTTTAAAAAGCTTTTTATAGGTTGGAATAGATGAAATTTCTTAGGATTTAAGGGATAGTTTGATCTAAAAATATGAAATCCAAAGTGTTCTGCTGCCCCCTGCTGTTTTATGTTTATCTTCTTATGCCTACGAAGACTGGTTAGAGCATAGGTATAAAAATGAAGGTCCAAAGTGTCGAAGGAATCCAGAAGTACATCTAATTCAGATTTGAGTGACTTGTTCAAGATTATGTAGTGGTTACTGGCAAACCTGAGGCTGGGAGCTGACTAAATCATTTTTTTTTTTTGATACCGGGGATGGAAACTCGGGTCCTCGCGCTTGCGCAACAGGCCGCAAAACCACTACGCTAAATCCCCAGCACCTTAAACTGAGTCTTAAACTAAATCTTAAACTAGTGTTTTAGTGTTTTATTCACTACTGACTCCCTTCCACATTAATTCAACTATTTCTTGAGTGCCTATTATGAACTAAATTTTGCCTTAAGGTACCTATAAAACTGACCAAAGTATTACTACAGATACTTTCTAACAGACTAGAAACCACGATTACAGAAAATACTTTGAAGTCTTACACAATGACCACAGTATCATTTCATTGCTCTCATGTGTAATAAAAGTCTCTATTCCGAATGACTAAGTACAACATGAAGACTCCCCGAAAAGATTCATTGTAGTTCTTTGATTTATTTTCCGTTCAGTGATTTACCACAGCTCTTTTTCTATTTCAGAATGAAATAACTTAGATGTTTCAATTGTAGTATAAGTATGTCGTCGCAGCTAGGATTTAGTAATGTAATGAATATTTAATCTGTCATAATAATATTTCTTGATACATTGTTTCCAATGATATGTGAGTCCTTAAAATTGAAATTCTACTTCAAGTAATTTCTAGAACAGATAGACATTTTTCACTTTAGACTAGTTTTAGAGATATTCTAGTCATTTATTATAAATACTCAATTTTACTGTACGTATCTAGTTACTATTCCATTTAGAATTTATCATACTGTATAATGGCAAATGTAGAATCTATAAATTTATTGTTGATACCTTCTAATATAAGCATGTCTAGAAACTAGAAGTTTCTATTTTATTCTAAAAAATTGTATTTTTCTACATGTAGAAAAAATTTTGAAAATAAGTAGTAGATATAACAGAAAATATATTGTAAATGAACATAAATTAAAAGAAATGGATTTGGCCAAAATAAAGATTTTGATTTACCTGTGGCTACCATGTATATTAGTAAATCATAAAATAATGAAGAAAATCTCTGCAGCAAAATTCATATAGTATTGTTGTGCCAACTAAGACCAAAAATGAACATTATATTGCTACATTTTAAATATGTACATGGGCTGAGATTTTACTCATTCTAATTTGACAATATGATTATGAAAGCTTGTTTTGAAATAAGCAACAGTTTAATGTTTGCTTTATATATAAACAAGATAAAAACTCCACTGGTTATTTGTAACATGTCAGGAAAACATTTCTCTCTCCCATTTGTAAAAGTCATTAAAGAATTGGTTATATCTGATTTTTGGAAATTATATTAATTACACACAATAATCTCTTATTGGCTTGGGCTTACTAATGGAAAAGTTGGAAAATCTGACTTGGAATTATGCTAGCTAGTTATTGTCTATTTTGCTTACCTTTTAGTAACTATTCAAGTAGTTGGTTCGTCTCACTTTTAATTTGGTTTAGTGATCTTTTATAAATACATATTTGGGGCTATTTTTTACCTTTTCTTTATATCTTGTTCTACTTGAAAACAGTTGCCATTTCTCTTCTTTTCTCAAGACACTTTTTTTTTTTGCAAAATTAACCTTGTGACAATAAGCAATATATTGGTGTTTACATACATAAAGAATATTTATCTCAACAAAGAAATGTTCTTTCGTTTCTTCTGCTGAGACATGTAGTACATAAATTCAAACCAGGCACCACTACCACTAGGAAGCATCTCTATCCAGAACTCTATACTTTCTTAATTCAGTACCATGTGCTATAGTTTGTACTCATAGGCACTCAATAAATAGTATCTGAATGAATGATAGAAAGATGACCAAAGCATGTGGCTTACAATATGGTGGGGAATAACAAGCATGTAAACAACTAACTATAATTTCTGTTTTTAAAATCTATTTCTCTTATTGAGGCTTATTAATCAGCATGTTTTACATGATCACATAGCTAGGATCAAAACAGTTAAAAAAATAATAGTTATCAAAATGATTTTTAAAAATTTTTAAATGTTTTATTCATTTAACAAATGTCAGGCACCTCCATTATGCAAGTATATAATATCTTGATGTTAGATAAGAACTTCTAAGGGTTTTTATTGAAAACTTAAGACTAAATCCATAAAGCCAGCTAGAGAGATTTGAAAGATTTAATCTTCTCTTTTATTTGAAGTCTTTCATTTGGGATGGGCTTGTTACCTGCTTTAACCGTTGCTAGCAGGGCTAAGAGCTAGCCATCATTACAAACCATCTCAACCATTGTCCCACTTTTCACAAATCTCTTACTCACCAGTCTTGGAAGTCAAGATTTCATAATCAGATTTCATCTGTAATAATGATGCTGATAATAATAATTTAGCACCTACCATATGCCACAGTGTTAGACACTTACCATAAACTATTTCTGGTAAAACAATCTTAACATTACTGTATCAATGAAGAAAAAGGCTCAGATAAGTTAAGGAATTTCTCAGCATTATCCACCTAATAAGATGGAGCACCAGGGTCTAAATTCAGGGCATCTAGCTGACTTGAAAGCCTAAGTGACATTCTTGAGTCATCTTCCCTTGGGTGCACAGCACATGTGGAAAAACTAGGGAAGTATCAGCTTCGATTTGGAATTCACCTGCCAACTGTGGACTATAGTTGGAGTACATCCTGTGACTCTTGGTACTCCATATCAGGAGCAGCACCTGAAGGAAGTCAGCAACTTGATGTCATAAAAACCAAAGACTGATCAGTGCAGCATGACTGTACCATAACACATAATGAAAGCTGTATATGTTTCCAATGGAGTTTACTAAAGCACACTTCTTTTTGTGTCACTGACAGTGACAGATAAGATATGATGTGATTCTGATAAATTACATTCAGTTCTCTTCACTAAGGACTTGGTGAAGTTAAAGAGACTTTCTCTTTCTTGGTTATCTTCTTTTATTGTCTAGTTTTGAACTGGCTGAAGGTTGTTTTTATAATCCACAAGTATTTAGGATGAGTGTTTCATTTCTTCCCCCAAGGCCTTTAATATGAATTACAGAAAATTATCAGTTTTCTAATTTAAATTTTATTATCATAATCCACATTTATTATACAGCATTATTAAAGATGGTTCAATTTGTTATATCTGTGAAAAACCTCCTGTATGTAATTATTTATGTGAAATGGCGATTTTTTCAAGCTCCTCCAATGTATTTCCATCTCATAATTGTGTTTCATGAGAGGTTTGTGTTTTGCACACGTTGTTACCATCCTGTGAGTTACAGTGAGATAGCTAGAGCCATTTGGAGTCTAAATTTTTGGAGAAAAAATGGTGTCCGGCTTTGATTTCCAACTTTAAGGGAGGAGTTCTACTCACAGATCCTTAGATTCCATGTTATTCCCCATGTACCAACATCAAACTATACTTTGATACAGTTACTTTTCTCTTGTTGCTGAGGCAAAATACCAGACACCCAAAGTTAAAAGGGAAGGGGTTCACTTGGCTTACAGTTCTGAGAGGTTTCAATGCATAATCAGCTGGCTCCGAGGCTGTGATGACAAACAAGCATCACAGAGGGGAAACAACAAGGCAGCAAAGGTAACAGGAGGGCCTTCACAGTGTCTTTCTGCCTCTTTTGTCCCATCCAGACTACCGGGATTAGAGCAGTGCCAAAATGGTCTAGTAATCCCATGCCCTTAATCCCAGCATCACACATTACAGATTCAACTACCTCTGGAAAAGAAAGTCCCACCTCATCTGCATGAGGGCTGGGGGGACTTCTAAACAGAAGCCACAACTGGTATAATTTACAGTATCATTGTCCATTAATTAAATTCATACTACTACTTTTAGTAGTTATGAAGAAATTGTTGACTTTATTATTAATCCTATACAAGCAAATGTTTTTATTCTCCAAATTGTCGTTTCCTTTATGTAAATTCTATATTTCCTTTGTGTAA